GCTGGACTTGTTTCATTTTCAAATAGGAACTTCTACTTGGATTCCAAAAGAACCTGTTTCACAGAAATTTGAGCTTATTGTAAATGAACAGACATGAATTTCCCAATGTTAAATAAGACATTGTTTTTATTCTAATTATAAATTGTTTTCACGTTAAGAGGATAGATTAGAGAAAATAGAAAAATGCATAATCACATATTTTTTCGTCCATCTATTATACATTGAATTTTTTCAATATTTTTACAGAAATACACAGACACACATACAAATGAATGTCATACTTGTACTATTATTCAACAGAAATAATAGTCAAAGGAGAGGAAAAAGTATTTCACAAAAAAAGAAATATAAATAGACCTTAAACATGAAAAGATGTTTATCTGCACTTGTAGTAAAAGCAAATTGAAACCACAATGGGATACTATTGTTGCCTGTCAGATTAGTAAAATCCCGACATTTGGCAGCACTCTCTCAGCTCTCACTTACAGTGTGGGAGAAGAGCAAAATGGGACTATCTCTACGCAGGGCAAGTTGGCAAAACCTATCAAAATCACCCACTCACATGTTCAAATGACCTAACATACTATTATTTATTTCAACATTTTTTATAATAGCAAAAGATTGGTAATACGGCAAAGAAGTGAGTATTTTCACCAGTAAAATATCTCATAGCTATCCAAATACCCCTATATACTGACATAAAAAGAGCTCTAGGATTTATAAATGAAAAGAGACGTGCAGAGCAATGCATACTGCATGCTATACATGTAAGAAAGGAAAATAAGAATATATATGCATGCACATATATGTTGATATATATGTACATCCATATTTACATAAATAAAAATTAGAGAGTTTTGAACCATGAAAATGCTGAAATGTATTTATCTAGCATTTTAATAGGATCATGTTGTGTATATTTTGTTTCAACGCCATGTCCTGGTTATTTTCTATTTCTTTAAAGAATCTCCAATTTTTGAAGATGCATATTGGCCTATTAAATGACATCCTTTTTTTTATTAGTTCAGACTGGGCATTTGGGTTAATTTGGGGCTGTTAAAAATAGTTCTATAGTTAATAAACATCCCTGCACATAAATCTTAGTACATATCTTCTGTTTCCTTGGGAAATTGATGGATCAAATGATAGGAACAATTTCCAGGTGAAGTGTGTTCCACGCATGCGTCGTGTGCTCCGTGCTGGCTCCTCACACAGCAGAGCTGGGGTTCAAGCGCTGTTTCTCTCACTTGCTGGCCTCAACCCGGGCTGCACATTAGAATGACCGAAGGGTCTTTATCAAAGTCCCTGTGCTGGCCTGTGTTAAGGCTCCTAAAGGAAAGCCTGGGGCAGAGCAGGTAGGGCAGCCAGTCTAAAGTCAGTCTTCAAATCACAGGGACACTAGCACTCACTCAGTGCTTAACATTGGCCATATTTTTTAACCTATGTGAGACCTGGTTTTCTTATCAGTGAAACCTGTGTAATGCCTGGAAGGTGATGCAGTTGAGAGCTTTAGAGAGAAAGAAAGCGAACTGCCTAGAATTCCTGATACTGGCTAAGTGGTAGGTACTTGCTATTACTCAAACAAAACAGAAAAAGCAAACAAAGGAAAAATCACCTAACAAAACATGATGCAAACTTTGCATTTACTCAGATAAGCATTCATGGCTAGTGAAGATGTTGAGATTCCAGCTGTTTGGCTGAATATATATATAGGTGAATAATATGGCTGAATATATCATATAGGTGTAGTACTTCAGGTTATCTCCTATTACTTAGAATTTCTAACTGACAGTTCTGTGGGACTTAGATTAATATAATGGGGAAAATGAAGTATTAATTGTGACCTTCTTGATAGAGCAAAAGCCTTTAAAAAAATGAAGTCTATGAGGAAAGGAATGCCCAAACAGTGGACGGAATGCATAATTGCAAAATTTCAAGAACTGTGTTGTGTTGAGAAGTATGTGGAGGTTTTATTTTTAGCTTTTTCCCTTTTTTTTTTTTTTTTCAGTTGAGAAGTGTATGCAGTACTCTAGCTCTATAATGACTATTGTTACTTGAGTGTTTTTATGTGGAATCATGTAAATCTTTGCCTAATTGTTCCATTGCACACCTGTGGATGCGGCCTGATGTTCGGTATTTATTTCATGTTCTCTGGATTTAGTCACAGAAGCCCTGTTGGTAAACAGGAGGCCAGTGTAAAACGACTTCCCAGCATGAACTATCTGGGCAGGGGGCCTATGACCCTCAATTGCACAACCAGCTTCCGAGCAGGGGAGGGAAGCCTGGACAAGTAAAGGGCAGTTCTCGTCACCAGCTCTCAGCCTGATAAGGAAGGACATTTTCCTGCTTTCACTGAAAGTAAAAGTAACCTGTTTCCACTCTAGGAGCAAATAACAGAGAAGTTAAGAGCAGAGATCCTAAAGCCAGGCTGCTTCGGTTCCTGTCCCAGCTCTGTTTCCTAATAGCTGTGAGGAAGTTCCTTAGCCCTCTCTGCCTCAGTTTCTCCATCTATAGGACAGAGATAATTGTACGTTTCTCATAGGGTTCCTATGAGAATTATATGAGTTAACAGGTACTTAGACCAGTACGTGGGTCATAGTGAGCACTATACAAGTGACTGCTTTTATTACTTCTTTAGGATGTTAATAACACTGAACTTGTGACTTTAGGTAGAAATCTAAAATTATTTCATTTGAACACATTCTTCTAAAAGTGGATAAACTTAGGCAAAGTGAGATGGTAAAGAAGAAATGATACAGCTAGTTAGAGACAGACTAAGTAGCGTTGGCTCTATCTAACTAGCTGTGAAGTGTGACTTCTGGTCCACTCGTCCTCCTACCACATCATGTGGCCTCGTGATGTGGTGGAAAAGTGCTGGACCCTGAGGGGTGCATAACTTACCTTCTACCTCAGAAATGCACCTGTGTACTCCAGAGTCTCCCCAGGGGGATTCTGACGACCTCCAGGCCTCTCTAGTCTGTGGAAGGATCCGTCAGAGGCTCCGCACGCCCAGAGAGCAGCGTCAGCGCTGCTGCTGTGCTGGGACTTGCAGTCTGTTTCATTAGCTCCCGTAAAGAGCAGGAGCAAGTCTAAGGCGGAATTTCTATCCTGTTTGTAACCAGGGGAGCTATTATGGTAATCCCAGAGTAGGTCACAGTTTTATCCCAAGAGGAAAGACAAACGGGAAATTAATGAAGCGCCAGCAGCCATGTGTATATATGAGGGGAAACATAGATGTGCCCACACCTCCTTTAGAAAATTCTCCCTGACTCCTTGGAGGATGCCTTTGGTAAAGAAGCAATGCATGTCTTTGTTGTATTTTGTTTTCCCAGTTGAAAGTGGGTGAAAAAAAAGATGCATGATATTGGGAGTGTGCATGTGTATGTGTGTGTGTATGTATATATGTATATGTATAGGCTCTGGGCTCAGAGAGCCCTGACTTGAAATTATGTTTTTATCGCCAGGCGTGGTGGCACGCACCTGTACTCCCAGCTACTAGGGAGGCTGAGGTGGGCGAATCGCTTGAATCTGGGAGTTGGAGGTTGCAGTGAGCAATGTTGCCACTGCACTCCAACCTGGGCAACAGAGCAAGAGAATGTCTCTAAAACTAAAAAGAAAAATTAAATTACATAAAATATTACTTAAAAAATAGTCACCTAATCAAGTAGGTAAATTACCTACCTTAGATTACCTACTGAAGGTAGGCAGATTAACTCATAATCTTTCTACTCTATAAACCATGGACCATAGGAAGGGCTGCTAGAGGACTCACAATTGCCTGGTGCATGGCAGAAACTCACTGATCCTATTCCATCCCACCTCACCTCTCTCTAGGGACGTTAAGAATAGAGATCAAGAATAGAGATCATTGTCCGCGCTTGTGTGTGTGTGTGTGTGTGTGTGTGTGTGTGTGTGTGTGCATGTGTGTGTGGCACCTACTGTTTCTAAAGCAGAGTGACCAACAGTACAAGTCAATGCTCTTGAGGACTTGCATGTACCAAGCATTATTAGCTCATCTGATCCACACAGCAACTCTAGGAGACAGGGCACTATAACTGCACTTTACATGAGGAAATTATGGGACATGGAGTTCACACGAATACCAGACCCAGGACTCAAACCCAGGCACTCCGGGACCCATGTACATGTGCCTAACCCCTCAGCCATGCTGCCGTTCTGGTGTTCGTGCAGCTCTTATGGGGATAACGTGAGCATCAGGAAACATGATGCTGGGAAAACACTGGTACAAATCTGCGAACACAGTGCGAGTGTCATTAGACGGTGCCCTGTTGCCACTGGAATGGCCCGAACCAAAAGAATCTGAATCTGGTGACCTTTATGAGAAAGGTAACTGGGCTATGTAGTTTGGCTGCGACTTCTCTTAGAGACAGTGCTCCAAGGGAATTCGAAACCACTATCTCAGGGAAAGAATGAGAAATGTGGTATTGGACCATTATTACAAGCAACACATAATTTCATAGCCCGATTATTATGCTGTTTCTTACCTTGGACTTTCAATTCAATTGCATCAAATTAAAGTACACACAGACAAAGGTAGGCTTCTCATTGTTTACATTTATTGTGCCTATTATGGAAAACAAAGCACAGCATTCCAGTAGCAAAGAAGGCTGCTTCAGAGTGTGTAGAGGGAAGGCTTTCTGGCAGTTATCTGGCTGTAGGGCACTAAGGGGTGAGGCTGGAAGCTGCGTGCTGTCTACACTGAGGCCGTGATGACCTGGGTTGGCTGGAGGTGCTGGGGGAGACTGCGGAGAGAGCTGTGCTAAAGGCTGCCCTGACCAACTCACTGTTGTTGTTACAGGATGAAGTTTTCTGTTTGCCACTGGTTTGAAAAATGACCACCAAATAATGACATAATAGACTAACACACACGGAATCTGAAATAGCCCAAATCCAGAAAGCAGGCCCAGCTAGATCCTCAGCAGACACTTTTGGGGACAATAAACAATGAAGAGAAGACGAACCCTCTGTGCCATGATCTGTTAGAATCTCGTCCCACTGCAGCAGACAGGTGTTCTTCCGATCAGACAGAAGGCCACGATCCCAGAATAGGCCACACTCTTGAGGAGCAGGAGGAGGTAGGTATAGTACGCAGAGGTATTCCTGAGCTGCAGCAGCAGTTCATCTAGGAGAAGCCGTTGAATTAGTTCACTGTTCTTTTGGCAGGCCAGGACATACCAATGGGGAGGGGTTCCCAGGCATTTATTTCTGATGATCTCCATTGAACTGACATCCCATGACCACTGAAATCTGAAAGTAAACATATACCACTACCACCACTAACTTCAAAAGCAAGAGCAAGACAACTCATAATTCAGCTTGCACGTTGATTAACAACCTCTGCTAAATTCACTGAGAAGAGTCCAAATATTAAAAAACAAGGTTACATTTTTAATGAATGAGTCCAATAGTGAATAAAAATATTTCTCATAAATATGTTTTAGAATTTTTTCAATTTCTTCACCCCCATATCACTAACTAATCATAATAGATAATATCCATTAACCACTAACTAAGTGAAAAACACTATTCTGAGATATCTGGATATAAATCTTTAATCTTATTTGATCTTTATAACAACCTATGAGAGAGAGAC